CTGATGGATTGTGTCAAGAACAGGACTGAAAAAGGAATTGTTGGACGTTGGGCTTGTTCAAATTATTTGGCGAATCCTAAGTCAGAAATTGCAATGCGGTTATGTGCTCAGATTGAAGTCTGCCACAGCATCAATGATTCCCTTTTATCGAAAAAATATTAAGATAATGTTGTGTTGTGTATAATAGGGTACGATGGGGATCGAGTAAGGATTATATTATTATAATATTAGCAATCCGCCCCGGCTTTGTAGAGTAATTAATTATACTATTGTTATGACAGGACTACTAATACTCCAGGACATCTTTAAATGCAATATTTATAGGCTCGCTCCGATTCTGCCGCCCGCTGCCACCCGGGACGGACATACGCCTCGACGGTTGTTGGGCCCCCGTATTTTAAACCTCTCATATCATCTAAAATATTCATTTAATGATAAGCTGCAAAGATAAATTTTAATATACATTAAATGCACAACGTATATAACGTATTTAATTGTATAAGGATTAATAATGTATTGTTTAAAATAGCTTCGTAAATAACCGATAACTTTTTGGGAATATTTCAAAGATCAAAATGGTTACTGTGGTTTATCCTTAGGATATAGACATAAACTACAACGGTATTTTTTGTAGATCTTCTTAAGATATTTAATTCTGTAGTACATTATTTTGGTCAATCTCGTAAGGTTTAGCCAGCGTTTGCAATGTAAGCGCATGAAAACATGTTGTTTACGACAAATCTTTGAAGTTCTCGAATTTTCTCTACTATAATATGCATGTATTAGACATATAAACCTTCCTCTTGAAACACTCTCTCTATGCGTAAAACCCGCATAAAAATCCGTCCACATCACATTTAATAGTCCACTGCTGGACATAGGCCTCTCCTTAGAAAGGAGGTTAAAAATCCGCTGCTTAGTATAAAAGATCTAAGCATACAGGGACTTTATATTATATTGTGTAAAGATAATCTAATCGTAGTTTTAAACAGAAAAGATCGTATTTAAAAATTAAATAATGCACCATGTTTTAAATTGTTTACATAAAAGAGGATAGCATCGCAAGCAATTTCATATTCTGCTTTGAGTTGAATATTTTATTGGTTTCGGATGTTGATGTAGTAAAAATCTCTAACACAGTATCCTTTCACCAGACTCGAAAGACAGTGATTACAACTGGTGAGTTACGCTAACGATGATGATATTCTATTTACACCAACGAGTCAATTGGGAAAATTTTCACAGTGCGATGTAGAATCAGTATCTGCTGTATGTGAAATGCTTCATAACACGAATACGAAAAAAATAATAATAGAAGTTTTTTTTAACTCATGCAGCGTTTTTTCACCTAAAAACTATTTCATTATTATATTGATTGATATTCTGATTTTGAAGATCCCGTAAAACTTAATGGACGAGAAAATGTTCTATATGTAATAAAAAGCCAATTTACCCACTACCTCAGATGGGAGTACGTAATACGAGTAATATGTGTGCATTAAGAACTTTACTATAATGTTTACTCAAATTTGTAATATTCAAATATATTTTTTATGGAATAGGGGGCAAACGAGCAGACGGGTCACCTGATGGAAAGCGAAGTCACAAGCGCGTTGCCAGCTTTTGAGGAAGGAGTACGCTCTTTTCTTGAAGGTTTGAAGGTCGTATCGGTCCGGAAATACCGCAGCCGATAACTTATTTCCTAACCTAGCAAGCTCTAGGATATCACAATTTTGTGAAATAAACTTTATGCTTTTAATAAAATTGTTTATTATTTAGGATTATGTGCTGTAATAATGTTAAAATCTATTAAAGTAACAGCAACAGTACGTTATTAAGCTATTGGACTCGTAAGAACGAATGATATAAGCCTAAACTTGAATTGTTTAATAGTAGCTATTTGCCGGGTCTGTTGTTCCAGTAGTTATTGACCCTGCCTGCTAGGTCAGATGTCGTGTGGAGGATGTGTAAGGTTATTGTCGTTGTATATATTATTATTATATCTTCTTCTTCTACTAATCTACTATCTACTAAATAAATAAAATTGGAGTGTCTGTTTGTAATATTAAAATAACCGCTTTTTACTAAATGCATATGTATGTTTACCCGGTACATATGCCAAAATAACATTTTTTACCATTTTTGTCTGTCTGTTTGTTCCGGGTAATCTCTGGAACGGCTGGACCGATTTCGACGGGACTTTCACTGGCAGATAGCTGATGACATAAGGAGTAACTAAGGCTACTTTTTTTAGACTAGCTTCGCCCCGCGGCGTTGCCCGCGGTTAAAACAACAAACACGGGTAACACCGCGGGTCTCAACTAGTATCTACTAAATTTCATTATCTTTCTCTTGCTTCCATAGTCACATCAACTTCAAGATGCAAAATTATAATACAAAATTTCATTTTCATTTTTTTTTCGTTTCCATAGAAAAATTAAAAATTAGTTAAAGTGACTTTCAAGATTTTTCACATAATTTGATAGTTAGCTATAACCGAAGCTAACAAAAGTGCTTTAAAAAGCAGCTTACCTATTCACAGAAGATAAAATTGTATAAAAGATACAACACAAGACAAAATAATATAAAGAAAATTATTTTTGTTTCTCTGCATTTGCCTGTATAATGCAATTGAAGACTTAAGATAATGCAAGAAGGAACTACAAGAAAAGACATTTATAGCTGTTTCATGGCATTTTCTTTATGTTATTAGGGCCTTTGACTTTTTAATGTATGTAAGTAAGGCATTTCTTTTAGGAAAAGAAAAAAAAACGTATCCTAAGCGTCTAATTTATGTAATTGTTTCAGGAATGTTGATTTCTCAGAATCAAAGTAACTTAAATTAATTAAAGTAAATAATTAAAGTTAAAATACATTGATTAAAATGCGAACCGATATAAAACTATACTTTATTGCAGTATCAGATGACCAAATACATAGTAAAAGGTTAAAAATAACAAGTCCTACGAAAGCAGTAATATCTTTATTGAGGCAAGGCAAATATCATTATTACGAATCGAGTAAAAATATAACAGTTTATAGCCTCGAGTCAATTCAAAGTCAAATGTTAATTTCACAATTGCATTAAATGCTGATAAAACAAAAACTAAGTCCATGATAAAAAGTTACCTTAAAGTAATGGCATATATTATCCGTGTGGGACGGTTTAAGAATACGGAGTTTCACTACCCCTAATCATCACTTGGTTATGCTAAGAGGCGACTAAGGGAGCAAACTGCGCAGTACAACAGCTCTGCAAAGAGAAGGAAAAATTGACACAAACCCTGTACCAAACCGTTTGGCCAGCGTGGTATAGTAGGCCAAACCTCCTTTCTAAGGAGAGGCCTATGTCCCACAGTGGACTATTATTAAAAAAAAAATAGTGTGGTGATACTACATGTAACATGTAATGTAGTGTGCTAACCTGTTACCATGCGCAAGTCACTATTTCCCTTTTATAACCTTCCTATCCTATATTTCTATTCTTTTACACTCATTATTTCCACAAATAATTTTGATATTTCTCATCTGCCAGACATCCTGCGAAGGTTCAGTTTTTTTCTTGAGCTTAATTTTTAGAATCAAATTAAATATAATTCTTTTTATCTTCAAAATTTTGGATACCGCGGTTTCTTGCCATTTTTCTAGATTTTACTAACTTTCAGCAGCTTATTGTAGAAACTGACTGACTACGAATCTTATTAGAAAGAGTGCCTTTTTGTGCTAAATTTGAATGCTATCGCTCTCCCTTCGAACACTAGCAAGAAGTGTAGTTAGTAAAATGTTAATGTTCCTTAGTTTTAGTTAGATACACTTTGTAATAGAAGAAATATTCTGCGGTCGTTGTCCAGGCACGTAAGAGAGAAATCGTCAGTTGCATTATTTAACAGGTTTCCGTTTAGTACACCAAGAAAAATGTCCTTCATGTATTATGCAACACGGCTTCGAGAATCAGTGTGGCTATGTGTAGTTATCACCTATCTTAGAAGCTGCTAATGTATATTTAAAAAGAGGGTACCAATACTGTAGTAATACAACTGTCCGTTTGAAATAGTCATTTTTATTTTGTTTACTAGTGGTTTTTGGAACTAGTAGAAGTCCATCAAAAGGAATAGTTTTCTAGAACTTTTTTTCATTATTTGTATTACGTGTGTATTAAGTCTAGTTAATCTATTCCACCTCTGCTTGTGTTGTTACGGTAAAGATGGCCAATTTAAGCCTTTCTAAGACAAAAACAAGAGATTCGGTGTATGTTATGTAGACAAAATATTAAGCAAAATCTAAGATGGTGCGTCACTACGTTAAGGTGTAAAAATCTTTTTTTATATTTTTAGTAAGTTTAAACAGATTGACTTAGTAAAGTATAATAGCTGTATGCGCCTTTCAGGATCTGAAACAAATATTTAATATGTAAAGACAGGCAATGTTTATAAATCCGTACAGTAAATAAAAGAAGCGAGAATCACATTAGTTAGCTATGAATAAAATCCGATATAAAAATAAAAAATAATAATAATTCATTGATGCATTTAAAATATTTGTAGAATAAAGCTTCATCAATCATCAACAGCCTATAACAATCCACTGCTGGACATAGGCTTCTCCTTAGAAAGGAGAAGGTTTTGGCCTACTATACCATGCTGGCCGGGTTGCTTTAGGGTTTGTTTCAAGTTTACCTTCTCTTTGCAGTGATGTCTGCAGTACAAAGAATGATTGCCAAACTTGCTTTTATTTATTTTTAAGTAAATACTTCAAAATCAATTTACTAATAGTTATGTATTAGGTATACATAACTATTTGTAATGGTCCTAAAACCGTCTACTGACCCCAGATACAGGTACAGGTAAATATTGTCAGGTAAAAATTAGTAAAATGAACGTATAGCATTAGACCGTAAAAGATCCATCATTCATTATTAAAAAAATGTACCACTAGTTAAGATACAGTTCACAATAAGTGAATTATGTGAATTCATTAAATCATGACGTAAACAAATTAATTCAGCTTGCAGCCCACCATATTAATGCATCAATGTAAATCACGCGCGTCAGTAGCGCGTAGTAATTTAGCCCAGTATGAACATTCTGTACTTTGAGCAACTGTAAAGGTAAACTATATAATTTATATAATATTTATAATTGCATCGTTGATTAACAGTATTTTTCTTCATACTACTTACGAAGAACGATTAAATTTCAAGCCAAAACGAAAACCATTTTGCAATGAAAAGAAGGACTATCGCATGTCGAGTGATAAAGGAGTATGAAAGAAGAAAACTCCTGCGCCGCCCTCAAATTAATTTGATAAAATGGTAAGAATAAGAATAGAGGTTGAATTTATGTGTATTTTTCTTAAAACCTTACTAGTTTCTAGACAAAATGCCACACATATTGGGTCTGAAAAAAAACACGATACCGCGATCCCGGCCTCTTCAAGGTATTGTAATCTTAGTTACGTTATCTCCGTGTGGTGATGGGTGTCATAAGTCCAGCCGACTAAGGGAGCAAACTACACAAAACAACAGCTCTGCAAAGAGAAGAAAAACTTGAAACAAACCCTATGCCAACCCGTCTGGCCAGCGTGATATAGTAGGTCAAACCTCCTTTCCAATAAGAGGCCTATGTATGTAGAGACTGTTGATGATGATGATGATGATGATTAAGTCACGTTTATTATCCGAGACTTGCCGTATCCTTTACCCTAACTCCAATCCGATATCCTTACCCCAGTTTACTTTCTTTTATTGTCTCCTTTGAAAGCGATTACTTTCCCCTAGAAATGCAGACGGCTGAGTATAAAAGAACCCAGCTAAAACCATTTGCAATATTAGATGTTGCTTCGATCCGAATACAGTTGGGAACCGATCAGAAAAATAATTATAATGAAATCTAGTACAGTCTTTATTCTGAAAAATACTAAATGTCATACCTAGCCATGGAATATGAGACGTAACATAGCAGAACTGCACTTAACAAGATTCCAATCGCTGGCAACCAAACTTTTAATACAATTTCTAGTGAATCAACTATATTTCAACAACCCGCTCGGAACTGTACAGGAGCGGCAACATGATGGCTATGTGCTTTTTCTGTAAAACTATTGTGAGTAGCATGTATCCAGACCGCTTGATGTTAAGCGGTTACCTTACCCATAACAGTGTTTTCTTTACTTAAAATCGGACTGGGTTAAAGTCTTAATTTGAACGTTAGGATAACATTTTATCCATATAGTGTAATAGTAACTAACAAAACGAGATTTTGGAGTAGAATTCTGTGTTATCAAAATATTATTCTGAAAGCCTTTATCAAATTATCTACTTACATTAATAAATGTAGCCACCGTCAACTTTGCAAATGGTCCAGCGGAAAATACTACATTTTTACTGAACTGGCCTATTAGTATGTACAAGTCCTTGCGGTATTTTATATCTCTTGCCCACCAGGCACTTTCATAAGGACCACGCATTACATCTTGACTCTGAAATAAAGTATCGAGGTTGAATATACACACTGTTAATTCAATTTTGGATCTTAAACTACCAGCCACTTCAGCTAACCTTAACAGTTTTAATTGCTGAAATGGCCCCATCTCTCACTCTCTGTTCTTCTCTTTTACTACAGTTAAATCTCCATAGTGTGGTGATGCATACAATTTATTTAGTACAAATACATGTTGATGAGGATGTTTGTGATGATTTATCAACTCAATCAATGACTCTACTACAAATCTACTGATCTAACCATAACACAAGTACACCACAGTACAAGCTATACTTTGTTTGGAACCAGATGTGTAATACATTTCATAATTATAACTGAAAGTAAAAATATTTCTAAAAAGTAACGATTGATTCTAAAACCTTTTAGACCTGATTTTCAATGGTAATATTCAACAAAGCATTTGTTCGCATTTTTTATTATTGATTCAGAGTCAATAAAAGTTTCTTAAACAATGCTTTGTGCCGACAAAGAATTTTTTTGAAGACAGTAAATTGACAAAAGGTTCTGACTGAGAAAGATCTCGATCGTTATTTCTCATCCACACCCATGGATCAACAAACCAAGTGTCAAACGATGAACTACATATCTGGTCTTACCAGTCCTAATATCGACTCATTCGAATTTTCTCCGGTGCCTTCTGGGGACGTCTAGAAGATTATCATATCTATCAACTTTAATGGCATCTGTGGGGTATGATGGCATTAGCCGACGCATGATTGTTACCATCCTGGACTATACTCTCTAAGTAATTACACACATAATTAACTTTTCTCTTGACTCAGGAACCTTTCCCTCTCTTTGGCGTAAAGCTTACATTATCCCTCTCTCCAAAAAAAAATAACCTTTTACTATCCGAACACTTCCGTCCATTCTACCTTTCCTTTCTAAAGTACGCGAGGCCTGTGTATACAAGCAGCTTTCAGAATTTGTGTACCGACAAAAACTGTTAAGTCCGGCTTTAGGCCTAGTCACAGCACTACTACTGCCCTTCTCAAAGTGACTGTCGATATTAGGAAGGGCATGGTAAACACCAAAGATATAGTTTCACAGGTCATTTTCCACGGCTCAGTTATACTTTGGAGCTCGGTAGTCAAAGACCTAGTCTTGTTCATAGACTCAACCCTAAATTGGCGTGCTCAAGTTACTTATGTGAGCCAGAAAGTAACGGGTAACCTGCGAACACTATACCATCTTAAGAATTTCCTGCACACTAATACAAAAACCTCTTTCATGCAGTCCCTTATTATTCATATAATTGACTATGGTGATGTGTGTTACTTCGACCTGAATGCAGAACTCCTCAATAAGCTAGACCGTCTTCTCAATAACTGCATTCGATACATATTCAATCTTCGCAAGTATGACCATGTGTCTGCTTCACGCTCCCAATTAAAATGGTTACCTATTTGCCTGCGTCGCAACCAGCGAGCCCTGCCCTTTTTCTTTTTATTCCTCAACTCCCCATTTTCCCATTCAATCTTTATAAATCTTTGTTACTTCAACTCCCTATTTATAATCTACAAGTCTGTGAAAGAGTCATACTAAACTTTAAAAGATTAAATGTCTTTGTGGCTTCGTATTGATTTATAACATAATTTTGACAAACTTACTTATACGCCATTGATAATCTAACTACGCGCCTACTGCAAGAGTGTCGTATGAATTAAATATAAAACTTAGACTACGAGAAAAAAAAAACAAAAGTAGTTTAAATTAGAGCATTTCTGAGAACTTTGAGTACTGAAAATCGCATGAATCATAAATTAATAGTATATCCAGGTATATCATATCGATCAAAATATTCAAAAGCTGTGTAAATAATATGTTTTGGTTTGTATTGACAGAGTCGTTTTGATGCAACACACTTGTAGTAAACTACAATTTGTACTCACTGCAACCAGAACGTCATTACTGTGCCAACAGTAAATAAACAACTGAGCCACGCCGAACACTAAATATTCTGTTGTTAGGAATCTCTGCATAGGACTTGTTTCTATCTGAAATGGAATAAACTAAAATCAATATATTATTATCATACTTGCGTTCAAGAAATAAATATCCATTATTGGAGTCACGTTAAGAAAAAAACTTGTTGTATTTTCATCAATGTTTTTTTTTTCTTGTTAAAAATCACCATCATCATCATCAACAGCCTTTACTAGTCCACTGCTGGACATTGGCCTCTCCTTATTTAGGAGGTTTTGGCCTACTATACCACGCTGACACTATGATACTGATACTATCTTGTTAAAAACAACTCCCGAACTACAAATATATTCTGTTTGGCAGGAGACCCAGACTTAGAATAACAATTTGTGAATCGCATAAAATGTTGACACATGTGAAGGTCGAGCCCACAACACTCAGCGCATTAGAAAGCAGTGAGGAGACTGCTATAACGACTACGTTATCGGTACAGTCAAATGTTGAACTAACCTTATCCGAATGTTATGAGGGATTGGCCAATATATGATACAACAAAGGATTTGTTTCTTTTAGGACCGGCCGGCAACGGCGGCCGCCTGAATGACGTCAACTCTTTTTGGGAAATAATATTTTTCAGACTGATCGAAGAAAGAAGGTAAACTTGGATAACAAACCGGATAACGCGAGGGAGTTAAATTAAGAGACCACATGTTTCGGAAAGAGAAGTAGCAGTATCTACATGAAGCCGGAATTGTCCGTCTTATGATAAAAAGATACGACATATGAATTCTAACGGGATTTTTTTTCTTATGGTTATAGGGAGCAATGGAGCAGATGGGTCACCTGCTGGCCAGATACTACCGCCGTTCAAGGACCACCGCAACCCAAGAATTACAAGTGCGTTGTGATCTATTAAGTACCACTCTCCACAGAATTACGAAGAGGGGGATGGGTTAGCTTGCACTTGCTCGGCGGAAAGAAACATGATATTCGCTTAACAACGGTTTTCTCAATTTTCAAATCGTAAAAACAATATTAAAAAGAAAAAAGAAAATTAAACTCATCAATTTCAATAGACTTACCGTTATTTGATAAGCAGTGACACAGAGCATGACAGAGCACACGAACATATACAACAACATTATAGGTGATAAACATGAGTCGAAGACACGGGCGTACCTGCGATCAAAGTAAAAACTATCACAGGAATCTAATTTTAAGTACATTTCTCAGTAAAATATTAATATATTGCTGTTATAACGGCTTCAGTAAATGTGATATATCATTTTTTTAAATATGATATACCTCACACTTCTCAAACACCGCCGTCTGATACCAAACTATGCAGATCCTGTACTATGGTGACCAGACTGCTGATAAACATACTTAAATATTTTTAAATCGTTAAATACATATTATAGATAAATTACACCCAGACACGGAAGAAATGATCATGCTCATCACACAATATTTGTCCTGGGTGGGAATCGAACCCACGACCTCCGGCTTAGCAGTCAGGGGCACTGACCACTAGACCAACAGGCCCGTCATTAATGTCTCTAGTGAAGAAAAAAAGACACCTATATGTTTACGTGGTGTTCTTACTGGTGATCATGACTCATATTATAATTGTGACGGGTTTTGTTTTAGTATTAATCAAATTGAATTGTTTGGGCATGTATAATTTCTCTGTTTTCTTCTATTAGCAAAACAACGTATCCAATTCTCTTCTCGATGCAGGATATAAAGTTACTAAGAATTACGTGTATAAGCTCTGGACTTAAACATGTTAAAGTATAAAAAAAGTAATTATAAAAGACGAAACATACTTATGTAAGTCAATTGATAAGATAAACAATATCTTGGTTGTAGGACTTTACACAAAACAAAAGTTAAAAATAAGCCGCGATATCATCCGTAAGATTAGTTTTATTCTTCTTGGAAACATTTTTTTAAGCTTGAGTAATCCTCGGCTTTTGTATAAACAGGATTTAACCGTTTACAGAACTCATTAAAATTACAAACAAGGAATCTTTTGTATTTGAATTTCTACATTAGTAAATTGGTATAATTAAATAATGGTAAGTTTTAGAGTATGGGAAGATAATTATTAACAATTCTATGCACTCTTAGCTCTCTTTTGCAGTTACAGTAAATATGATTATGCTTGCAGTGTTTTAGGTATGAAGTCAAATCAGATTGCTCTGATCCTGGTCAGGAATGGGAAAGTTACCATAATATTATTATTATAAATAAACGACCGTGTGTGAGATGTGTGAGGTTATTATTATTAATAAATAAAGCTAAGCTTGTTGGTAAGCCTAATAAATAAATAACCTTACGGTCCTTAACCTAACGGTCGTTTGACACCAAACTAGGCAGAACCTGTATTAATAACCAGACTGCTGAAATAAATAAATTACACTCAGACATAGAATAAATAATAATAATTATTATTTAATAAATAATAATATTTGATGTTGGTAATTTGTATGTTAGTGTATGGAATTATACACCATTATTTACCATAATGTCTAGCAAATTTTTACCCTTAAACAAGCACACAATTCTATCATAAGATTCTTGGAATATGATTTGTTACTTAAATAAAATATCTATTTATATAGAAGACACGGTCCTAAATTTATTGTCAAATGGAAATTTTATCATCATTATAATGTAACATTATATTCTTCATAGGATAATCATTCATATGTCTGTTGTATAAGGCTCACGATTTCCTTAACATCACAATTTTCTTGTTAATGTGCGTACGTAAACACACTTACAAGAATTTATCGTTCCCATTTAAGTGTTTAACTTAGATTGACTTTGTAAGGGTTCGTTTGGATTTTGAACTCTCATTTAACTACTACGATTTTATCAACTATGAGTTTTGGGTTCACTATATGTAGAGATTTAGCTAATGGAGTCTATACAAGAAGTCGTTTATTTCTATATCTGATTACTTAACAATGGTAAATATTAAATTAAAATTTAGAAATGCAGATAATTTTATAAGTTTTGTTCATAATCTAATAAGTTATAATTTTTACAATCACAGTATTACAATAACATTACTTTTTTTAAACGGGTTTTATCCTTCCTATACGCCCACTGGAACTCCTGTACACCAGGATCAACAGCAGTGACCCACGAATATACCGAGTTATGATACTCTAGAAATCCCATTAAAAATTAAACTGTCTTGAAACACCTAATAATATGTAATTTTTTATGAGACTAATCCCTCCCACACGCCCACCACTGTAACTCCTGTATACCAGAATCAACAGCTAGTGACCCACGAATACACCGAGTTATGACTCTCGGAAAGTCCCAGGAAAAAAATTAAACTGTCTTGGAACCCGCAACGCAAACAATCAGAAGAAAATTGTAAGAGTTGGAAATATAATAAATAATAAATAACTCCTTAGCAAAGCGGGAGACAAAATGAAGTAAAATAGGCATACACCCGTTTAAACAGGGAAGCAAGGGAGCAAGGGAACATGGGAAGGTCCTAAGTGAGCTAAAATATGTCATATCATCATCATCATCATCAACAGCCTTTAATAGTCCACTGCTGGACATAGGCCTCTCCTTAGAAAGGAGGTTTTGGCCTACTATACCACGCTGGCCAGACGGGTTGGTATAGGGTTTGTGTCAAGTTTTCCTTCTCTCTGCACTGCTGATGTCCTGCGTATTTCGCTCCCTTAGTCGCCTCTTACGACACCCACGGGATGAATAGGGGTGGTGACACTCTGTATTCTTAATCCGTCACCACACGGTGTCATATGAAATCAGCTATTTAGCTTAGAACCGGGCCCCTTGAAGCCCTTGGAAACAGGCGGTTGTAGATTGGCATCATCATATCATAAATTTCGTATAAGTCTAATTGGGTAGGTTTTTTAGTATATTATTGGGTATTTAAAGCTATTCGGTATGTTGATCTATGACTTTAGAGTCTACAGAAAAGACGATTTCAAACATTTTTTTGGTCACAAACACACAGGTCACAAACAAGTTTGAGTTTGGTCCACCGTGGTATATCACACGAAATTGCTAAAAAGTTTCTAACATGACATTTTGGTGAAATGAATTTGTTTTTACCGCACTTTTTACCCTTTTATAATGGTAATAATGATAAATGATAAACTTGAAAAACTTAAACACTATATCGCTTAATTAAATAATGTTCAACACAATAAAACAACTTACTCGACGAAATCAACGTGTCGTCTATGACAATCTTTAAATTTTTTCATTATAATTCCATCATCAATAGGCATTGATTCCTTCCCAAATATTTCGCCAGAATCTCGCCTTAAAAGCTCCAATTCAGATCTAAAGAAAACCATAATAACCATGGCGTTTGTATCAAAAGACGTAATCCAGCCTCCTCCGTAAATAGCAGCATAGCTCTGGTAAACCGAAGCTGCTAAATATCCAACAATATTGTTCTTATCGAATGGTACCCATGAGCTCACTACTTGTAAATAGGACTCAGTACCGTTCTTTACGTTTTGTCTATAAGTCTCTGAGGAAAAATATTTGAAGATTGGCTGGGCCATCACTATGATAACGGTCGTGTACATTAACGACCAATATAGATATGTTATCTTCCTACAGTATTTCGTGAAAGCCTTTATGATGGCAATTTTTTTTTCATCATCAGTTGTGCGTTGATAAAGGTCGGCTCTTGACACATATTCGATAATGCTTTTCCAATGTTTTTGCCAATATAAAAATGTTGTCACTTTAACAACACTCACAGTGGCTAGCATTGTAATTTTTAGATTATTTAGAAGAAGATTAATATCTGATTTGACATACCAAACATCAATACACTCGGTGGCTGTAAATACTGTCACTAATATATGCATGAGTATGTAAAAATATTTTTTCCAAACGTTATCTGGGAGTAATAGGCCCCAGAATTGTAAGGCTCTCACATTAGGGCCTAATAATGGCCTTTTTGGATCTTCCAATTTCTGTAGAATGTGTTTCAACATGTTATCAGATCTACTGGGTGGAACAGATTCGTAAAGTGATGCGAGGAACCTTAGTACACGACTACAAAGACGAAGATAATTATATGATGCGTAATAATAGAGGTGGGAAAAGTGGTGTTACGAATATCGTTTCTTTAAGTAAAATAGTTTTTGTATAGATTATTCAAAAATAAAAATCCTAATTTTGATATTGAGGTTCTCTTAGAATTGACTTTGTAACTAAAGAATAAGCGGTTTTACTAAGGCGTATTTCGGGGCAGCCGACTAGTATCTGACCCAACCTTTCAAGGAATGAAGCGTCTATCCGCGTCGGTATCAAGCCCTGCCATAAGCTAAAATTAAAATAAAGATGAACTGTAGTTTTGACTTGTTTATAATAGATCAGTATATAAAGTCAGCATAATATAAATAGTCAGCAGTATATAAATTCTCCACTTCTGAGCGCGATTCAATATTTATTTTCGGGAATTAGTTTACGATATTTCGCCACTGTTGCAAGCGCTATGATTATGGATTTACTAAGTAACTGTGGCTGGTTTTGTATACCTAGGAGCAGACAAATCTTCTCAGTTATAATAACTTATCGGGAAAAATGACGTACTTACAGACATGCAGACTTTCGATCGAGTTTCGAAGGCGAATAATAAAATTATTCATTTGTAATTACAAAACTGCAGTTATTTCTACTTATTAGAAGTTTTCTTATTCTCAATTTCTAAGCGTAAAATATATTAACTGTGTAAGTCAGTGTAAGTAATGCCGTCAAAACTTGAAGAAAACATCTGCCTCTAACAAGTACAATATCTAGTATTATTTAAGTTTTTTTTTCCTACCTGAATCAAAAAGTTTATATCAAAACTTTGTTCTTTTATAATCCATCCAATTTCAGTGTTATATAAATGAGGGTGTTTTTTGTACCTTGTTGTTTCGATAAAAGTGCGTACTTTAGTAAAAACTGTTGCGACAGGCCCTTGTTTTTTTTTTTACAACATCTGTAAACCTTTTCATGGAACTAGGTATGTAAATTTCTACCAAACGCCTGAAGAAAAATAAAATTCTAACGGGTTGTTTATTTTTTTTTTCTGTTTTAGGAATAAGAGAATTGGAAATTAGCAATTCAAGTATGTGTTCAGAGTTCTGGAATGTTTGATATCAGACTGGAAAATAGTGTTTAATGTAAATAGCGCCTACTTATTCATTTTGGTCAAGGTATATAAAAAAAAACGTTTTCGTTATTTTACGTTACATTTCATACAAAGTAATTTGATATTTTTAATTAACACCTCTTAGAATAAACCATCTAGAATTTTTCAATCTGTTTTTCCTGCAGGGTGCTAGGTACCAGGTATATCTGCTAGGAGTCACTTTGACTTATAACTTTGATTGATATAAAATGCCTGAGGTTTGCTTTTGGTAGAGTTGCAGAACCCCCTACCTAGGTAGGGGGTTCTGCAACTCTAATAATTTAATATCAAATATTGGTCAAAAAGCAACAATCATTTGATATAAATCAGAAAATAAGAACATAAAAATATATTTGCCATATTAACAAATTTGTAAATCACAAAAAGCAATAAATTTATTTAATCTTCAAGTTATCCGTATCGCCGTCACTTTTATTCTTAAGTATAATTTACGGTTAAAGTTATAAATCTTTGCTTTTGCTCATTAATTAAAATATTTTGAGACATTATATAAAAATTTGAAAACTTCTAAACTAAAAATGTAACGTCTGTTATCCAATTGCCAGTCTTGTCGTAATTAATTAAAATCATAGAAGGTTCTTCAACTTTGTATTTTGTCTTCATTATCAGTAATGAATTCGCACTTCACGAAGGTGTCACTGAGCTCTCACCAGCTCAGTCAGGATCGTTACAATTTTATCGAAGCGTCAGCTAACAAAAAAGGTATTCTACCCGGGTATTAATTACCTGAATAAGACCCTAAATATAATAGCTGTTTGTGGCACAAATTGAAAACAATAATATTTCAACATTCCAAATTTTATCAATTGTTGATATTGATGTAACGGTTCTTAATCACATATTTCATCATTCGTATTCATCTGGTTGGGCGATAACTCTGTTTTTTTTTAAAATAGAAAGCAAACGAGCAGACGGCACACCGCGGACGGAGTGATTACCTTCGCTCATTAACGCCTGCAACTTGAAAAGTCACCACCATCGTTGCCAGCCTTTTTTGTTAAGTAATTTTTAATTAAGTATTTTTTTCTAGACGCTACTAGCAACCGAAATTACTAGTATTCCCGTTGGTTCACGTCGGTAGTGTACTGGTCAGGATTCGAACCCACAACCTCTTGATTGGAAGTCCAATGCCTTAGCTTGTTTATCGATGATGAATTAATTATTGATGCTATAACTCCTGATCTAAACACAAAAGGAATAAATTGTAATAAATTAACTTATTTAGTTGTAAATATATAAATCTATATAAAGTTACTCTATAATGTAGTTCGTAGAGAAATTGACTTGATTAAAGCACAATGACGCAACACCATATTTTAATTAAATTTAAACATAAAATGAAATATTCTACTTATTTCATTACATTAATTATGATATCATCAATTAATAAATTCATCCATCAGCCTATTGCAGTTCTGTACATCCCAGCTACTTTCTTTAGGTCTTCAGTCCAATTGAGTTTATACCTAATTAACAGTTAACATGTCCTTATGAATATGATAAAAATATCTATGCTCTATAGACAGACTTTTTCAGTTTCAAGAAATTCAGTTAATAAAAGTTTTTTGCATTCCATCAACCATGCTTTAAAAAAAGAATTAATTAATGGTAATTGTGGAATGCTTTTATCGATAAATCTTAAATCTTTTTCCCAACTCTACTAATTAAAAGTATAAAATGTCGTCATATATTATCTTCCCCAAAGGTGTCTATTGTAATAATTGTAGGCTGCATTGATTTTTCGTCACCTAATAACATATTAGCAAAGTGTAATTATACTCGGAATATGTAAGATGTAATTTTTTATAATAACTTCATTATTACAGTTCGGGTGAATAATTTAACTTTTTATTATTTAGTGTGAAAATCAAAGTGATGCCAAAATCAATTTAGATTCATTTTTATCAACGTTTACTTTTTCTACTGCATTATTTTTCTTTACATATCCTTTTCTTTTTTGCGTGGCGAAATCCCCTCGGATACCACCTACCGGTGGCTATGTCGAGCTCGAACCGACTAAAAATTGCACGCCGTCTTGCGTATATCGTCACTCTACCTAGCCTGTGGGCGTCCTACACGTTAAGTACAAAGTTATGTTTATTAAAAATGTAATTCAGTTCGCGGTTACGCACGTCACTTGAGGATGGTTGGATGATTTTTTTTATCATCATCATCATCATCATCATCTGATGCACTGCTGGACATAGGCCTCTCACATTGCACGCCACTTAGATCGATTTTTGGCTTCTCGCATCCAGCTCCTGCCAGCCATCTTGCGCAAATGGTCAATTATTTCTATATTTCGTTTAAAAATGATTAATCGATCTTTTTTTTTATATAATTATTTGTCAAATATTTGGACTTTTACATGTTTATTGTAACTTTTAAACTACAGCCTTCCGTACTAATAAGCGCTCTAACGATAGATACTAAGTACAAACAGCAACCTGGTCGAAACGTCAGGCATTTCAAAGGTTTGTACTTAATACCTATTGTGAGCGCGGTAATGTTCATAAACATAATTATGTTTACCATTGTTACTCTGTATAAGAATGCTCATATTTACATATCTAATCAAGAAATATACCAGAAATCGTATATAAATACAGAAGCACGTTTTTTTTGCCTTCTGTGTATTCAGATTTCTCATTACCGCTCTTTTTTAAGAAGTAAAGCGTCCTACCCAAATGTTATACTATACCTATATTTAATAAACAAACTTTCACATCGTATTATAGCGATGTCTCTTCGTCTAGTAAAGTGAGTACATAGACATAGTCTAACGTGATATAATGTACTCAATTTCTGAGAACCTCATCGTTCTCTCCCACATGATTACACAAGTCGTTCACTGTAATGGATAGCAATCTTTGTAAACTACTCATCGTTAAACGTATGTCGCTATAATTGTGTTGATGGTTATATGATTGAGATCTTATTGTAGTGAATTTGCTAATACTTGGTGATGATTACATGATGATTAAAGGCGCTTACATATATTTTTCTTATGTAAACTTCTGAAGACAAAAGGAAGTCATTATTTGAATGTAGTATGTAGTTATCTTCAGTTTAAGGAATAACAGAAAAACTAAAAAATCGTCATCTTTCTGACTTTTTCCGATTTTATTCGGGGTCAGCCCAATATCGAACATTGTAAAGGTTATAGCAAGTTTCTTTTATATCCCTTATCGTCACTGATTTCAACTCGCCTTGGGAAGAATGTAATAATAAAAAAGGAAGGAATACGAATACGGTCAAGGGTCAAAGAGTTATTAAAATCGGTTCACAAATGGAAAAGATAAGCGCGTAACACCCACAGAAAAAAAGAACCACCTCCTTCTTTAAGTCGGTGGA